GAGAGAGAGAGAGAGAGAGAGAGAGAGAGAGAGAGAGAGAGAGAGAGAGAGAGAAAACAGGGAGAGAGAAGGCAACCCGCGAGTCGTAAAACGGCGAAAAGCACAATTCTATTATGCCGCTATGAGGATGATATATAATGGAAATAGTCCTCTCTCGTTCGCTCTGGCAACGTGTCAATGTAAAGGATGAAAAGAATGAGACAGTAAATATATACACGCGTTAATTTTTTTTTATAAACTATACATCACTTTTTATTTTCACCTTGATTCGCATTTTTATGTGTGCTAAGTATCATCCTTCTCTTCCTCCTAAAAAAAAAAAAAAAATTAGTTGCGCCGCTCGCGATGATTAAAGAGAGATATTTTGTTATACTAAATAATGCGCGCATGGAATATCGCGATTTGTGACGATTTTAATTGAGCGCGAGGCAATAAATTTCTTGTCGCACAAATTTAATGCTGTTCAAGAATACGAGAGAGGGGAAAGGGAAAAGGGGGAAACGGCCGCGGAGGGTGTGATTGAGAATTTGAGGCCGTGCCGGGCCGGTGACAACGGGATTACGTCGTAAATCAGTGTCTTTGGAAAACATAATCTGTCAGTGGGCAAACAGGTTACGTGCCGGCACTCCAATTCATTTTCAGCATGGAGTTCCCGCGACGGTTGGCAATTACGCGATATTTAACGTTTCACCGCGGCGCGGGTTAGTGTGTATCAAATTAGACCCGTCGGTGTTAAACTCATTACGAGCTTTACACATTTTTTATTCTCGTACACTTACAAACGAACTGTGTTTATATATGTGTGTGTGTGCGTGGGGCTGTTTAAAGGAACGCATTTCTGTGTCACACCGTCGCGATTGCGCGCGCGTGCGCGGCACGACACCTTTCCAGGTATAATTTCTTTCCCGGAGGGATTTCATTTTCAGCGTTAATTACATTCGGACACTTAATGAATTAAAATTAAATATCTTGACAAGAGTATCCCTCTGTGTGCTGTGGAATTTTAATGGGAAACTTTTTAATGCAAGACTTTTAACGAAATTTTCAACTCTCTCCGCGCGCGCGCGCGCGCACACACAGTTTGTTCTTTCTCTCCAAAATATAATACATTTTCTTACTTCTATTATGAACGACTTTTAGTTTTGTCCACGCAATATGAAGTAAGTTTTTAATCCGGTTTTGCGACAAAACCGCGCTCGCGCGCGCAAGCGTACGCACACATTTTCGAATTTTTTTGCAGTTAAGCGAACATGAACGAATCGGTAACTTTGGATTTCATCTTCAACAACATTGTTGTGTTAATTGTTTTCGTAAAATTGTTTCGCTGTTCTCTTCCTCTATAGACGGGTGGGTGTGTTTCGTTACTTCGCAATCATTTTATTTCATAACGTAAGTAAAAAACTTTTGCTTCTTTTTCTACGTGATTTCACGACAAGCGCGTCGACAGGTCGAAGATCGCGCGCGAAAAGTCTCGAAGTGTCGCGTGATCGATGACACGGACACGTGATCGCGGGAGAAACGACGGTGTTGGGCGAAATTAAGCGTGAGCGATCGCCGCAGATGGAAATTACGTCGGCAGTTCGAGTTTCCAAAGTCAGTCGGTGATTCATGCTCACATATGTCGGCGGCAAAGCTGCGCGCGCGCGCGCGCGCGTAGCCGACGACGTGCGGAGATACGAGTAACACAAAATATCGGTCCCACCGACTTTTGGGTTTAAAAGCAGTTTTATCCTCTGCAAAATCCATTCGACAACCCCTAGCCGCCTCCGGTCTCCCCGCTCCTCGGCCTCGGCCGCGAGGTGGGTAATGCTCGGCACCGTAGTTCAACGTCGTTAAACTTTTTCATCTGCTTTTCAAACTCAAAGCCGACCGAAAGTTTTTCTTCCGCTTGTGGGGCTCGAATGGTGCCACTACATAAATGCATTCTACCCTTCCGCCGCCCTTATTCCACCTGCCGACCCTCACCCTTTCTCTCTCTCTCTCTCTCTCTCTCTCTTCTCTCTCTTTTTTCTTCTTCCCCACCTTCTCTCTTCCCAATTTCTCGAGCCTTTCTCTCCACACATTTCTCTTTCTCTCTATCTCGACAACGTAAGTTTTTTCCCTCTCTTCCCCGCCTCCTCAAGCCTGAGAAAATACTTCGCCTCCGCTTTGCCGCGGGTCATTACACCTATAGATTTCACTCTCTTTCGAATGCGCCGCCACCTCGAATTGTTAATCAAAACTTCTTTCCGCGTTCGCGCGCTCTCTCCGCCCCTCGCCACGCCACTTTTCATCCGCCTAGACGTTATCGAGAAGAATCGAAGTGCCGCTTAATGCCGCTCTCCGATTTTCCGGCTGTCGTTCGGACGAGGGATATTTCAGCTCCTTTTTATAACGCTGTGCCATTTCGCGGAAAATATCACCCGACAGAAATGATACGAACGCGATTCTCACTTTGGAAAGTATAGTTAAAAGAATATATATATATATATATATATACATACATATTGTATATTCGAGTACGCAAAGTTTTTCGCATTTCTGCAGAGAGAACGACGAATCTTTACGATTATAAGCTTTCGTATATATCTCCTCTCTTAATCTGGTCACGCGTAACTCTCGTCCCATTTTCACTTTACTATTCCGTCGACAAGCGTAACGAGCGGTTGGCGTGTCCGCCCGCTGTACCTGTTTCATCTTGTTTTTGGTCGGGCGTAGTTTCCTCCGATGCTCTTTTCTCGGAAATGCAATTTCATCTCTAGAGATGAAAGATATGAGTTTAGTGTGCGTGTGCGTGCGTGTGTCTGTGTGTGTGTGTGTGTGTGATTGAAACATACAAATTTGATAAATAATTACTAAATCGCGACCGTGCAACAAATCTCGTCCGAATTGTTTTGTTGTAAAAAGTTATTACTTGAACAATACGCGCGATTATTTTTTCATCCGCCGAGAAATTACGCGGACAAAAAAAATGTTTCATCGATTTGTTTTAATGCGGAATAAAGAAGTTTATTAAACGAGAAAAGAAGTCTAGAAGATTGAGAAAATAGTCACGGGCGCTTGCGAATAGTCTCTCAGCTCGCACAAGAGAGAAGAAGGTGTGTGAATGGCGAAGGTGCGCGCGAGAGAAACAAAGCGTCCGGAACAATTTATACGGACGCAAGAGAGAGCGTTAGGTTTTGAAGCGAGGTGTGCGCGCGCGAGAATATGAGGGGTAGCGCGCACCCACGCGAGAAACCCTAATGCTAGTTTTTCTGGTTGACAGAGCACAAAGCACGGTGAACCGTAAAGGCATACCGGATGCGCGGGATATTGGCAAATACATTTTGAAAACGGCGTTATATTATATTCGGTCCGGCGCTGGAAACGGCGGCGGCGAATTGAAAATATACGGTGGGGGGAGACACGTGTGTGTGTTCGCCACTTTCAATTTTCGTCTTCCGCTGATACGTCGCGCTTGGGTAATGCAAATGCGATGACGCGACAACTGTCACATTTTCCCCGCATTACCTCGCGCATTACCACTGTTTTAAATTCCAAACCGTGTGTGTACACAATAAAGTGTAGAAAAAAAAAAAAAAAAAAAAAAAGAAGATTATACAACAGACAATTTTTTAGAAGAATAAAAATATACACTTATACGTAAGCGGAAAGTGCAAATAAAATGCCGGTAATTCCTCGAATAAGCTCGTGCAAAATGTTGGGTCGTATTTTAATGAAGTAATACCTCGCATAAGGATGTAGATATTACTGCGCGGATGTAGGGACCGATGCTCGGTTTGCGGGCTAAGTATGTAAGCGCAATATATCACCGTCGCATCAGCGCCAGGTTTCCCTTATGTAAAACGTGTAGTTTCAGCGGAACCAGCTTTCACCGTAGATTAAAACTAATTCCATAATTTTCGCCGGAACAAAGAAGGCATGAAGCATCTTTTATCTCGCTTGATATTTATTAAGCTCCCGCTTAGTTAAGCTGGAATTAGAAACTTTGCGCACGCGGCCGCACCATGAGCGGAGTCATCTCATCGTTTGTGTTTTTTTTATTTCGGGACGCGCAACTTCTCGAACATTTCTCCCGCGTTGCAATTGTCATTTGAGCAATGACATGTGAATCTTGAATTTTTACAAATATCGCGCGTTGCGCACAAAAGCGAGTCTCTCTCTCTCTCTTTCTCCTTCTCTAATTTACGTCTTCAAATTGCAGGAGACAAATACACCTCAACGTTCACGTACAACTCCGAGTACAAAGTGCACATGAAGCTGACGATAAACTCGGTCGAGATGTCCGACTATGACACCTACAAATGCGTAGCCAAAAACTCTCTAGGCGACACGGATGGCAACATCAAGCTTTATCGTGAGTATATCATTTCCGTCGTTATATTCGCGTCGGCTCTTATTTAACACGTTCCGGTCTGATTTTCGATGACTTTTCGTTCACGCCGCGTGGGTCGTATACGCTTGGCTCCCCGCGCTTTCGAGACTATCAATTTTGTTTATGACATATGTTTCATAATATTTCTACGATTGCAGAAATCATTATTATCAAGAAAAAAGTAGTTAAATGCCCACGATGTAATATACTATATTGTATAATGATATTTAGGCATCAATATGATTATAGAAAATATTTTACGATAATGTCACATTCAATAGCGAAAATAGCATATGGCCTAAACGAAGAGTCTAGAGTGGGGCGTACACTGCAAATCCATGTGTGTTACTTTAACACATTTTTTCTGTGTAATTTTAAGATTACACGCTTATTCGTGTTATTTAAACACACATAAATGTGTAATATGATAATTTTATGCAGATCGCATGTGTGTTAAAATGCGTAAACATCTAAAATCTGTAATAAAATAAAACATAGTTTCAAACACAAGTTTTAGACATGTTAAAATAATACATATTTCTCGTTTTACACGTTTGAACAGATAAACGTTTCAAAATTAAAACACTTCACAAAATACACATCAAAATTGTCGTTGTCTCTGCGTAGAAAGTTGCGCGCGCATCAATCTTTCTT